TATATATATATATATATTCTAATTAATTCTTAATTTTCAGGAAAAGGAATGTGGGGGAGATGTGACTTATATTGAGGTCTTTGTAAAGACCCAGAAGAAGAAGAAGAAGAAGAAGAGAAGAAGAAGAAGAAGAAGAAGAAGAAGGATGGATCGAATCGCGTGCTTTAGAGACATTTGTATAATCCAAACACCAACACTATATATTTTTTCTTTCTTGGTTTATTTTATTTATATAACGTGTATTATTTTTATTTCAGGACAAGTATCATATTGATTTTGATGCATGGTGACAAACTCAACCTAAAGGAACTCAGCCGGCCCCGGAATATATGACTGCAATTTGGACAAAAGCGGTTGGTGGCGTGAATAAGGTATAAATATTATGTAATTATCTATTTTGGTATTAACTTGAAAGTTGCTTGTTTATTTTCTTACTTTTTTTACTTTCTTTTCTTTATTTCTCGTGAAATAATAAATAAAGGTCGAGTCTACGGGATAGAAGTACAACCATCCTCCAGTCGTCCACCAGTAGTATTATTCAATGAGGCATCAGTTTCCCAAGAAGACATTAAAGCTATGCGTCAAAAAGTGGATCAAATGTCACAAGAATTTCAAGCAACTCANAAGTACAGCCATCCTCCAGTCGTCCACCAGTAGTATTATTCAATGGGGCATCAGTTTCCCAAGAAGACATTAAAGCTATGCGTCAAAAAGTGGATCAAATGTCACAAGAATTTCAAGCAACTCAGGCTTGATCCAAAAATTGTTAAAAAAGAAAAGCAAGAAAGGAGCTGCAATGGAGTCCGAGTCAGAGGAGGAGACTGAATCTGAATAGGCTATATGAATATTTTATAGTTGAAGTTAGAGACATATTTAATTTATGTTGTTTGATATATAGTTGGTTATTTCATTAGTTGGTTGCTTTGTTATAGATATTACTGTTCGCTTTGTAGTAAATATTGGATTTTGGATTGTTATATTTGGTTTTTGATTAATTATTAGGTGTTTGGTTGGCTGTTTTATTTGGCAGATGAGGTAATTAGAAATACAGCAGGAATCTGCTTAAAAGTATGCCAAGATTTGCGACTAAATTCAATACAAATTTTATCAGGAATTACCCAGATTTGCGACTGATTTAGTCGCAAATTGAAAATTTCTAACAATATTTAATTAATAGTTATGACTAAATTAATCATAAATGGAGAATGTTCGATATTTTAAATTTATTAATAATCAATACTTACGACTGTTTCAATCGGAAAAATTAATTA